GAGGCCGGCCACCTGACCCTGGCAATGGATTGGTTGAAGCTACAATGTATCTCCGAACGACAACTGGCGCAGGGATGTCGGCCATAAAACGTCTTCGACAAGCTTGTTGAAGGATTTCCCGAACGATATCTGTCGCAGGGAAGCCGGCCACCTGACCCTGGCGATGGGTCGGTTGAAGCTATTCCCTAACGACAACTGGTGCAGGGATGCCGGCCATAAAAAGATATCGATGGGCTTGTCGAACGATTGTCCAAACGATACCTGTAGCAGGGTGGCCGGCCACCTGACCCTGGCGATGGACTGGTTGAATCTATCTCCTAACGACAGCTGGTGCTGGGAGGTCGGCCATGAAACGTCGTCGATGGGCTGGTTGAAACTGTACCCAAGCGATAGGCTCCGGAGGGAGTTCAGCCACTCAACTCCAGCGATGGGTCGGTTGAAGGGGAACCCAAACGATAGCTTCTGTAGGAAGGCGGGCCACGGTATCGCTTCCACAGAGTCCCTCGCGTCCTTGTTACCCTCCAGCTGCTCGAACCTTTGAGGCTGAACCATCGACGCTAGGCTGGCGTCCGACACGTCTGCATACAAGTGCAGACTCTTCAACCCTGTCCACAGCTCGACGGCGGTACTCTGCAGCAAAGTCTCCATCGAGAGCCCCCAGTGTAACCGGGAAGCACGTATGAACGGCACGCGACTCGATGGGCGTGCCTTCCAGCAGCGAATCTCCGAGCCGCGCGTGCTCGACGGGGTCTGTGATTTGCGACCGTCCTACAGGCTACGAGGGATACGACTATCAACATGAAGGGCGATGGCCGGGATGCTTCTGCTCGCCCTGCAGAACTCCAACGACGAGAGCTGAAGATTCAGCGTGGACGTAAACCAGCGGTTGTTCATTTCGTCGCATGGCTGGCTCAAGGCGATGATGAAGGCATCGATGCGCCGGTTTCCTTCTGCAAAAAGGCATTCGAACCACGTCGCCGGTACACCGAAGAATTTAACAGCAACGTAGAAAGCAGAAATGGGATGAGCTATTGGGTTCGGTCGTGAGCCTGTTCGTGACTATAGTAGTGCATATGGGTGGATCTGTACTCGAAGGTTCAACGTGCTAGATAGTTAAATGTATAATCTGCTGTTCTTGGATACCTGCACCGTTGTCACGCTCTCGGCAGTGGCATCCCGAGGTCGACGGAAACACTGCGACAACAACATGACACAACGGACGTGTCGGCCACAAGTCTAGGAGGCATGCGCCAGCCACACGGCTGTACCACGACGCGTACCATCTCTGAACAAGAAAAGTCTTTTGAGGAGGATCTCAACACAATTTTGAGAATGGGTATATATACACCACGCAGATGACGTTCAATGCAGGTCACGCAACCCTTGCACAACAGGAGTAATGGGGCTATCGAGGTTGGGGGTTATTCCGACGATAAACGAGGCACCCAAAAGGAAAGTCCTACATCACCCAGGTTGAGGTGGAGTGGGATATGGCTGTGCTTGGTTGACAGGATAAATATGCAAAGGGCCTGGCATTGTCCCAAAAGAGTGGGAACGGGCTCTCGTGAGAAGAAAAACATCAAACCAACCCCTCCCGGAGGGGACTGGTCTAAGAAACAACTGAGGAAGACCGAGCGACGGCTATGCGGCAAGGAAAACAGAGTCTAATTCGCATGTGTACGCCCCCCCCAGAAACGACCTCCATGTCGGCGCTACCCGTGATGATAGTGCCATCTAGACGATAGCCCCCTCGGGATCCGACGGAGAGGCAGGTCTGAGAAGGGTGTGCGGCTGGTGCCTGCAGGTTCTGTAGAGAGCCCCATGCTCTTTGGGACAGTCGGGGATCTGTGGCTGTGTGCAGAATGATTTGTGTTCGTTTTCGTTGAGCAATTGATTCAATGGGGGGGCTGATACAACGTGGTTACCCGGAATAAGGCGGCTGAAATTGGCGTGCACAACCGGGAGACAAGAGGAGGAAACAAATGGTGTTGTGACAAAATATGCAGAATTGTAGTTCGTACCATTGTTGGCGGCCCCTTGGCAACGACCAGTGGCGTGAGGAGTATCCTTTAGATGCTGAACCGGCGAGTCCTCGCATCCGATTACTTCGTCGGTCGGTGTTCCTTTCTTCATTTCATGTCTATTCTCAACGTTTGATGCGGTCGCTGCTTCTCGTAAAACCGTCATGCATGTGCATGCAACCGCAGGCATCGGTGCCCATCGTATATCAGAGGCCATACGCGGCATGCGATGATGACCAAAGGTTGAGGAACTTTCGGTGATTTATCGATACGAGAAATGATGTGTCTCGTGTCAGCTACCTTGGTGCACGTTGCATTGCCGTGTCCTATGACCTTGCGACGGGCCGGTGTGGCCAACACCTGGAAAAATGTGCACCATGGGGATGTCACCACCTTTTTCGCCTACAGGCGTCCTCTCGATGTAAGCCGGCCATTCTTAGCTTCCACCACCGCCATTTAGTCCGACCCCGCACCGCTGTTTACGCCATGATAGTCTGCATGGTGACCGTATCGCATCGAATTATTGATAGAAGCATCGTATCGAAATGTCGTTTCTAAATATCAAATAATAAAATCCTGTAACGAAGCAATGCCAAACTGTCAGGTCGATTTTTTTCAACACAACGTTCTACAACACATCCGCACCCCGTCTCCCGCCGGTATTGTCTCAGTCCCGACTACAACAGCATACATTTAATCTACTTTTCGTGTGTAGATTGAAAGTCCCGCGATGGGCTAACGTCTCCGTGTTTCTGCTGGTACTCGAATAAACTGCAGCAGACGGGATGGCTCCTCTGCGGGTAACAGGCTCAAAACCCCAATTTGGTTGACGTCCTGTGTATCGGAGTGTATCACTGGAGGTAGAAGCTGGATGGGATATCGACGTCCGTACAACAAACGCGTTGTATATGGTGGTACGGATTCCGTATTTTCTTGCAGAACCAACACAAGTATAGTTCCTTCATATATTGGAGGTGTTGAATTAAAACCACTCCGACACTTCGACATGTATTGTGCATAGGGTGTTCCGCGAGATTGTAAAATGATGTGGGCTACTACACAGCCGTGCATATCTCTCAGTCCCACACCCCCAAACTCTCTCACCTTTGGAACCCATGCCACTTTGACTGACCTTCGCAGCTGATGCTGTGACGTGGGAAGTGGTGAACACGGCGGTGAAGTGTGGATCAGAGACGACCGAGAGCTGCGAGATGCAGTACATTGAGGAGTTTCCACAATAATACCACTCGATTTGTTTTTGGCGATTTCAGTTTCAAAACAAAAATAGAGAGCGGCCTTCGAGATACATAAGGAACGTTCGAAAATTAATCGTGTCATCATCCTGACCGGGAGCGCGGGCGAATAGAAGACAAAGATCAGAGAGACAGGAGAGGAGCTCTGGGAGAGGATGATTCGAGGCCACCCTTATCCGTAATACCAGCGCCGTATTTACTGTAGTAGACGAGAGAAAGAGCTGAAAACCCATGGATGATTTCTCGGCGTGCAGCCTCTCGATACACGAAATGGAACCATGTATGTCCGTTACTCTCGAAGGACCTGAACCATCTGTCTGTGCATACCAGACGATATCGCGGCAAATTTGTACCAAAAATAGCAAAACCCAATAACTACTCCAAGCCCATCCCCTCTTAAAGCTATGCGCACTAAATAGATATGAAACACACCCTGGATGTGCTGGTCATCTAATATTTGTCGTACTGTAGTCCCACAGTCCAAATAATAAATGCATCTCCACGCAACTTACCGAAATCAACATGCCCCCCATCTTCTTCGGGAAGTGCAGTACAGTACTACTGCTAGATTCAACCCGCGAAAACTATTGATAATTCCAATATATCCACAAAAAAAACAGCGTTCGCTAGGCCTAAAAGTTCAACACAACCAAGAACTATATGTAGGAGTTATTATGTCGATCCGCGCGACTTCGGCAGATTTCGCTTCGCAAGTGGGGGGTTTGAGATATAGACGTGGCCGTGGTTGAGGTTGATCAAGCACGGAGAGAGAGAGAGAGAGAGAGAGAGAGAGAGAGAGAGAGAGAGAGAGAGAGAGAGAGAGAGAGAGAGAGAGAGAGAGAGAGAGAGAGAGAGAGAGAGAGTCAGAGAGAGAGCGAGGAGCCGCGCGGAGGGTGGCGTCGGGGGCGAGCCAACGCGAAAGAGAACGAGTGCAACATGAACAATGCGTTAGACCGACAAACCCACACACGGATGGAGTACAGGGGCAAATGGACCGAGGTACTGAAGACGGGGCACATCGGCCGAGGTATAGATCGACAGAGAAACAGCGTGAGCCTGGATTATTGGAGATAGATCTGGGCTACAGTTTCATCTCACGAGTACGCTTCTCCTGTAAATCTTCATCGAGTTTGTAGACTCAAGACTTGGCGACAAACGTCACATGCCTACAGTCAAACAAACGCCGTGCTACAATACAGTAGCGCGGGTGACCCATCCTTCCACCCATCCACCTTCTACTTTCCAAAAAACATACAGCTGGACAAGCCGGCTGAGTATTGTTCATTTTTCGTGGTGAATGATTGCCGTTAACCATGCGATGCACGGCAAAAAAATCGACAATCGATGGGGTTTGACGCCCACCGCTCATTTGTGTTTAAGATATACCACGGTATTATTGAACATCAACCTATACTTTCCTGCCGGCGTCAAAGGGACAACACAACGCGCGGGAACCGGGAAAAGGTACATGGAGAAACAGCCGACAAAACTTCCACGGGGGAAACATCAACGACACAAAAAACATTACGTGCACCAAAATGTACATGGTCACGTTCCTTGTCCAGAAATATACTTCGCCGCCTGTACCACCTCGTGTTCATCAGACAGCACGCAGAGCCGAAAACAACTTGCTATATATAGAGAGTATATTTTCGCTTTAACTAACACCATCATCCCGTTAATAACCATCCACGAGGTGTGTAGAACAAATGTAACATCAGTAGCAGCACATCGTGACTCAGCGAGGCTGCGCCCTAAAACATGTCGCTTACGCCCAATAATCTAGGGTTTGTGCAGAAGACAACCGGCAATAAACAAAATAAAAAACTACACTTGCGAAACCGGTACACTACAGAGACCACCATGATGAGGGCGTCGCAAACTTGACGACGAAAAACAAAACACCAAGCCCACGAACGACACTCCCAAAGCTCCCATAATAGTATCTGCATCCCAGAAGAGACAACTGCACGGCGGTGCTGGACAATAAAAACAAGACAGGCAACTGGCGTGCACAAAACGAAATATCGAAGCTGCCGCTGTTAATAATGTTACAGAGAAGTGCGCTACCATTCTTCATCTTGAGTCCCGCGTTCGAGGAAACGAAACGAGAGCAGACGGGTTGTCAGGGCTCGTATACTGCGGGGACTCGCAACAAACCTGCGCTTCTCACTCGAGTCGGTCAACCCTCCGAGCAGCCAGCTGCCCTTCCAAACACACAAGGACGAGGACGCAACCTATTTAACAAGCACTAGCTAACAAGTTTTTGGGCGGAATTGATGCCCACCGAGCACAGAAAACCATAAAACACAAGGCGTAGCGTACCAAGATCATGGCATAGAACTCCTCAAAAAACCAAGAAGGGCACCAAAACTATACCCACTACGGAATCGCCCATACCGTCTCCATTGGAGTCGGCCAACATACATTTACATGTCTCCTTTCAGACGAGCTACGAGATGACGGAACCTCCTTGGGGTGGGAGGGTGGGTGTACCAAACCGCCGCCTTGACAGAAATGTTCCTCTTCTCGCGTACATACATCGCCGCGCTAGCTGCTAAGCCCAGACCAACGGCAACACAGACGTGACGAAACGCGTACAGCCAGCCTTCCACCAAACCTTCGAGCCAGGCTGTTATCCTTTCCATCGAGCTTGCTCTGCCTCCAACCACATATGCACTAAACGCAAACCATCCGTATCCCATCCATCACCTCCTACCTACCTACCTACCTACCTACCTATGCGCACGAGAAGGAAATAAATACGCCAGGGTTTTCTAAGGCCAGGGCGTTCCACAACCAGAGGGCGTTCTTGGCTGCTCGTTCGTCTCCCCGCCTGCCCGCCAAGGGCGACAAGAGAGCGAAAAAAACGACCACAACAAGAACACCGACAAAGTCCAGCGATACACGGTTCCCCCGTCTCTTTTAAGAAAAAAAAAAAAGTGCGACTGCGGTGCCCCTCTCGATCTCGATGCCAACCCCAGGGGGACTGTTCAAGTCGCGCAAACGACTGCAGCTCGACGCTGTTGTAGAGAGAGGATCCAAAACGTTACACGTGACTGTCATCGCCAACCCCCCCGAACTTCGAAGACATAAGAGCTTCGTTCGAATTTACTGCCGGGAGAAGAATTCCGGTTCTCGAACTGGGCTCTCTAGACAGCAAAAGCAAAACACACACCAGAAACGACCCCCTGTTCATTTCCACGGCTGAGTTCCAGCCAAAAATACGCCAAAATACATTCGAAGCGCCATCAGAACGACGCTTCGATAGGCAACAATGTTTTCTTCAGTGAGGTAGCACGCGACAGTTGATATCTTGTCTTCTGTCTCTTGAAGCTGTGGCCAACGTCAGCTACTATTTCGATCAACCCAGCCGCGAATACCCCGGGCGGCAAACGCACTCATCATGTCGGCATCACGCCGTAGGTGTACACGGTAAATCATCTAAGGGTTAATTAATCATGTGGGAACGTTTCTAGGGCCCAATGTTCGTGACCACTTTAATCTCGTAAAACGGTGCGCTACTTGAAGTACATATGCAGAGATACTTCGTCAACTTCGGTGCAACCCGTTGCTGATATCCATCGCTCTCCCGACATCAACAAATACCTTCTTCCCACCTCTGGAGCGATGAACAAGCTCCTTCATCAGTTTTGGCACACTCTCCCGTCTCACAAGGTATTCTGTTTTCAAGTCCCCGCATTGTATCATACGGACGATGCAAGGCTCGCGAAAAGCGACCACAGAGAGCGTTAACGACACTGATCCGACCACATAACCCCAAACACTAACGCCACAAATATCATATGGAGACCCTCATGTCGCTGCCGTACCCGAACAGTGCCCCCCCTGCAATCGACGCGGCCTCCGCTTCCGTCATTTGCGGGCCCAGTTCCCCAGCCTCCGCCGCAGCCGCCGCAGCCGCTTCCCCGACCCCATCCATCCCCATGAACGCGCCATGGGGCGGCGGCGTTCCATTGAAACCTCGTCCCCCCCCAGCCGCCGCCGCCGCCGCCGCCGCCGCCGCCCCCGTTGCTCGCTGCTGGCGTTGGTGTGGCGGCATCACCCCTTCCCGGAACGGAGAGCAGACGGGCTCCTCCTTCGCCGCTTTGCCCTCCC